TCCACCTCTTCAGGCTGCTGGGTTGGGGCAGCCCCAGGGATTTCCTGCTCCTCCTCCTCTACCCAGGCCAGCTTGGGCACTCGGGGGGGGTCTCTGCTCCATATCTCTGGCTGGTGTCATGCCTGCCTGCAGGAAACATGGCACAGAAAAGCTCTGGGTCACCAACACTTGCATTCGTGCCTTGACAGCTCCTGCAACAGAAGACTTGGGAACTCTTCAGCTCATTAAATCCCATGATCTGGTCTCGAGGCCACCAGCCACAGGAACTAAGATGCCTTGGCAAAGCTCTGGGTCACTAAGTCCTACTCTCTAGCCTGGAGGGGGCACATGGCAGAGTGACCAGAGTGAGGAACTTGCCCACTGTTCCCTGACAACTCAGGCGGCGACTCCGGCCCCCCCGAGCCGGGCGGCTCCGGGACGGGGCTCGGCAGCGACGGCGACTTCATCTCGCGGTACCGGCTGGTGTCGACCAGGCTGCGGCGGCGGTTCCTGCGCAAACCCAGATGGCAGCGGCGGCGGCACCACCGGGAGCGGCGGGCCCGGCGCACAGCGTGGAGAGGGCCGGGCGGCCGGAGCGGCGCCGCCGCGGGGCGCCTCTCCCCAGAGCCCGCAAGCGGGCCAAGGCCCGGCCGAGGCGCGGCCGAACGGGAGGCGGCGACCCAAACGCAGAAGCCCCGCCGCGCCCCCGACCCGCGTAGAGCTCCCAGCGGAGCTCCGCGTGGAACCCCGGGCCGGGGGGGCGGCCGCCGTTCTGAGGAGAAGCCGCGGGACGGCCCCGCGGCCATCCCGGGTAGTCGAGCAGGCTTGCGCCGGGACTGTGACACAAGTTTGTTTAAATGCAGCTGGCGCGGGGCGCCGAGAGCGGCGCGGCGGCTTCGGCGAGCACATGGCGGCGGCGCGGAGCTGCGAGGCCTTCGCCGCCCGCCTGCATCTGGAGCGCGGGCAGCCCGTAGTGACGGCCGGGCCGTGCCTAGAGCTGACGGCCGCGTTCCACTACCCGTGCCGCCGCTCCCCTGAAGCCGACCACGCGGCCGCAACAGCGCGGCCCGGAACAGCCGCACATGCGGCACAACGCGGCGCCGAGCCGAGGCCCGGCGGCGATAACCAGCGACATGGCCCCCACCGTAAACGGGCCGGGCCATGGCCGCAGCCACTCCGGCTCCTCCGGGAGCCTCAACAGTGACAACGCCGCCTCCCCACTCCCGTGAGAGAGGTGGCGGCGGCCCGGTGAAAGAGCCGGGCCGGGACCAAAACTATACAGACACTATATTACTGTTTTTACATGTTTTACATATAAGCCTTTAGAAATTATTAGAAATGTTTTTGTCTAAAATAATTTAGTTAACTATCTTTAATTTTCTAGTTACACTAATAATAGAGAAAAATTCAACATTACCTTATTGATATATTTTTAAGTTTCTAATTTCCCTGTAGCTTTGTTTAAGTTACTAATAGTCACATTTACTAAGTATTGTTTAAAATTGTTAAGTTCTTAAATGTATCTAAATACGTTTAAGTTTGTAACTATCTCGTTTAAGTAGTAATTAGCATCTTTAAGAATTTCTATTGTTATTAATTAACAAATTATAATAGTAACCTACCTATACATTTCTGTAACTACACACTCAAGTATGTACACACTACTTACCAGTATTATACCTTTAAATTCATTAACTTTCCATATTCACAACAAAAGAAGGGGAGTAGACAGAATATGCATGTAATTAAGTAAGTAAATCCTGAGTCAAACAATTTTCATTCTGACCACTACATAAAAATTTAAGTTGTATAACTAGAATATGAAAACAAAGATTACATGTATGCATGAATGAAAAATGATTGGGGTGGCCACCCGAATGAGTGAAAGAAAGATTGTGTGAATGTATGAATCTATGTGAACCATTTACACCTTATACAAAATATCTGAAACGAACACACAACAAACACTACCTCTAATACATCGCCTTAATAAAAGGCAACTCAAAACATGATGTTCCTCCTTTAAACTTTTCCTTGTGTTTTAATAAAGTAAGTTTTCCCCAGTTATATGTAAACCCTCAGATTGATAAAAGTTTTTGTTCTACCCAATTGCAAAAAACCCTTAAGTAAATAAGGTTTAATCAAGAAATAAGTTTACTATGTCAAGTGAAAAACGTTTTGTTAAGAATTGCACTGTTTTTTGAATTTACACTGTTTTGTATCTTGTTATTAATAAAAATGGGGGAATTGTGGGGTCTGGTTACACCATGTGCTGCAAAGCATCCTGGGAGTTGTAGTTCTAAGTACTCTGTCACACATGCTCTGTTGAATGCTTGTATGGGATTGGCTTAAGTTACCTGTGTGACGTGGCAGCATTTGAAGCTGCTATATAAGCTGGGACTCCTTGAATAAACTCTCTCTCTTGTTACACATCACGTTGGTGTCGCTATGGTCCCCATGGGACTTATTATTTATTATATTAATAACTGCTACACACTGCTGTGATTTCTCCAATCCCTGTCCACATTTCCCCCTGAGAGCCCCTCCTCTGTCTCATTCTCAGCCCCTCTTTCTTCACCTCTTCCTGCACCGCTCTTTGCACCTGCTTCTGCTCCTGCAGCAACTTCCCCTGAGCCAGTCTCTCCTCCTTTTCTCACACCATCACCAAAGGCTCATCCTCTTTTCTTTCTCTCTGCAAAAACAATAATAGACTAAACAGGATCCTGGCCTGTTGAAAGCAGAAGAAACTTGTCTGTGTAATAATAACCCAAAACCCAACAAGCAGTTGCAGAAGATGCACGAGTACACAGCCTGACCAGTGAAAAGCAAAGTTTGTATTAACACAAAGCTGGTTTTGAACTAAGCCTTTTCCTTCACCAAAAGCTACCTTCTTATAAATCCTAACATAGCACACAAAATACAAGCAAAGCACACCTACCCTGCACAACAGTTACTACTTGTCTAAACAATCTGACACATTTGGGGCCTTTTGAATTTAGCAACAGAGAGACAAGTTTAGTTTACACTGTCCAAATTGTACTTCACCTTCAAAAAGACACAGATTATTGTTGCATTAAGACCTTGTATCTGCCCAAACAGCCAATATTTTCAGACTTTTCCAGGTGACAGCTGGAAAGAACTAGATCAAACTTTACAATGCATAGTTTAACAAGATGCTTAATGTACTTTATATACACTTTCAGTAAGAAGACTGAACTTTATTTTCCTTCAAACAGACAACTCTGGTGCTTCCCCTGGGGCGAAAGCCCATCAGCCCTACTGCTGAACCCCTTCATGGACACAATCCTGAGAGTGGCTGCAAACAAACATTTAATACACATCAAACACTCTAAATTCACAGCCAACACACGACTGACCACAGGCATCCCTGTATATGCACACTCTTATTAACACACCCTCACTGATTCCAGGGCCAAGAGGTTTTAAACACAAGGGTTCAGAGCACTCACAACAAAGTCCCAATAATCCCAGGACAACAAAACTACTACAAGGCTAATAGCAAGCAATCAATCATGACAAGGGGTATCAAAATCAAAAGCAAGTAGGGGGACAACGAGACACCGACAATCCTGGGACAGCAGAACAGTTGTTACAATAGGCAGACAGCCCAAAAGGGACTCCAAATCTGGCTTGGTATCTGCTGTCTTGCCTAAGGACCCTTCCTCCACATCTTAGAGGGAGTTTGGCACTAAAGACCAGTCCCAAACCCAAAACAGAGGGAAAGGAATGCTTCTTACCAGCAGGTCTTGTCTCTCCAGAGAAAATCTCCAGGGCATCCCAAGAGAGTTCTTGACTCAGCAGGGCCCACAGCCAGATAGAGAGGCTCCTAAATGGCTCCCCAAATTGATTTAGAGAAACACCCAAGTAGATCAATATTGAGCAGCTTTCCTTTTTATTGGCAGTGCTGGAGAAGCATTGAGGATAATCCTCCATAAATGCTTCCCATGGAATTACAAAGGCAAAATGACATATTACATTTTCAAAGGTCACTACACATTCATGTTCAATCCCACCTTTCTACGCCTCCTTACTATGTAAGTCCTTTCTTTCTAGTCCATAAAAATCCTTTGTATGATGTATCCTTTTTGTCTTCAATGCATTATTTTCCAACCTGGAATGTCCAGTGCTGATTGCCTACTTGTCAGTTGAAAAGATGCATCCTATCTACTTGCAGAGGTTCTTCTCCCAGTCTGTCTTCACTTGCATATCCCTCATGTAAAAGTTTAAAACTTCTCAGCAAGTGAAGAAAAAATGGTTCTTATGGTTCTTATTACGTTAGAAGTGTACATGACTTTGGCCTAAATTAACTCTACATTAGTTCTTTCTTAGTTATTTCCTATTAAAACTTGAAAGGAAAAAATTATCCATATTAACAAATCCAGGCTTAACTGGGAGCACCCATGATTTAGCAGCTTTTTCAATGTACAGCATTTAACAACTCCCTTTCCCTTATCAAGTCCCACAGTCTGGCCCAGAGGGTCAGTTGGAGAGCTGCCAGAGGGAGCAACAGAGGGAGCTGCCTGTCCCACAGGCTGCAGCACTGGGCAAGGGGCAGACTCCCAGATTTAGAGTTTACAGAACACAGTTCACAGTTACATTCAACAACTCACAACAGAACAGATTGCTGGAGCCACGGGCAAATACACAGCAGGTTTTAGATAAGAAAGGAATGAACTAAAAGCACAGTCTTTACATCCAAGGCATACAAATGATGTGGGGAAAAACAGTTTCTAGAAAGGAAACTTATCTCAAAAATTTAGGATGCATGCTAACTGCCAGGGGAGTCAATGAAAACCTGGTCCTTTGGAAACTTTTGAGCAGGAATACACCAATATTGTCCCATGTGAACAAGTAACACTGCTATTGGTAGTGCTGGAGGCCTCAGGATCATGTAATGCACAGCACAGTACAGTCAGGTCAGGAGGTGCAGCAAGGACAGAGCAGTAACCTTTCTGATAACATAATGAGGATATAAATATCACCCAGTTACACTGAACAAAAGCAGACAAAACTCAGCTGCTCCTTTAGACAGAAAGCACAAAGAGCCATCTCCCCATAGGAAGCAGTGCAATATCAAGAGCTGGCCCACAAGCTCTTCCCCATTTCCAAACACAACCATCAGCAAACAGATGCTTGCCAAAGCCAAATGAATTGCAAGGCTCCCAGCACACAAATTACCACAAAGGAAACAAGCAACAAGCAAACACTTCCTAGATGAATTAAAGTCTCTCCCATAGTCTAGGGTTGTAATAGCTGAGCTTCTACACTGCTGCACAGGCCAGGGAGAGCAGGAAGAACTCCACAGTGTTCATGTGCAGTCCAAAAGGTGGGTACAGGGTTGGACCAAAGGTTTTCCTCGGAGGGGATGATGCTGAAATGCACTGTGTTCTGGCACGTCAGTATTGCAGACTCCAGCAGGTCTGACAGACAGAGCATGCAAGGAACAACCTACATCTGGCTACGACACAAAGCAATGGGAAGGGACATTGATTCCTTATGACAAGCAATTAGTGGCTAAAGGAAACCCAAAACCAGGCCCCTCTGAGTGAAATGGAAAAGCAAAGTGATTTTGGCCATAGCAGCAGAACTCTGGGAATTAGGAGTGCTTTGTAACAGCAGCTGACAAGGACTAATTGCTGCCACTGGACTTGGGGGAGGATGAGAAAAAGGAGAGTTTGGGTAACATGGGAGTCCTGCAAGCACATGGACAATCATCCCATGCTTTATCATCACCTTGCAACAAGCACAAAGCGCTGTTTTGTCAAAAAAAAAGAGTAAAAATAGCAAGAAAACCGTAGTGACTCCTGCCGAGCCACTGCCACTCTGGGGGATCAGTCACTGCCTGCTTGGTGGTCACCGCCAGCTCCGAGAAATCACTCCTTGGAACTGCTACCTGTGTGAGCAACAGAAAGAATGTCAGAGCAGAGCCCCCAGCCCACCTCGGTGCTTTGCTTTCATCCTCCTGACATCAGCTCTGATAACTGGATGCCCTGTGCAACACTCGGGCTCCAAGAGCTCCTTGCAGCCCCCATCCAGCACACAGTGCCCTGGGGGAGCAGCAGAGACACGAAAGAAGGGACAGCAAAAGAAACAGCTGCAGGCAAAGCACCTGTACAGGCCAATCTTCCCCGTGAGGGTGGGCAGGCCCTGGCACAGGTTGCCCAGAGAAGCTGTGGCTGCCCCTGGGTCCCTGGAAGTGTCCAAGGCCAGGTTGGATGGGGCTTGGAGCCACCTGGGCTGGTGGAAGGTGTCCCTGCAACTGGATGGGCTTTAAGAAACAGAAACAAGGAAGAGAATTTGGCTCATATTCCTTTTCCAGTATTAGACAATATGAATACAAGCATCAGTAAAGAATATTAACCCTCCTTCCAGAGACACACCCATCTGGCATTACAAATGCTTATAGACCTTATTCAAGCCAGAGAATGGATTTAAAGAGGGCTTACCCTGCTCAGGCAGCTGCTCTTGGATTTCAGCTGCGTTCATTTGATTTTGCTAGAAATCTCTTTCAGAAGGCCTTTCAAATCAGAGAGCTTCACCAAAAAAAAAAAAAAAAGGTTATTTCTGTAAAGTCAATCTAGCTCAAAGAAAGCAATGCTCACAAGTTCTGTGAGTAACAAGCAATTGCCTCTCCAAATATTACACTAAATGCAACAGTGCTTGAAAGGACACTTCCAATTAGAGGGTTCATCGGGCAGTTAATGCAGTGAGCCCTGATGCAGATGTATTTCAGCTGCTTAACAAGAACAGAAGCACAATATGGATATTACTTTTCAGTAGAGAATTACGGTTATCAGATCTCCTTTCAGTTTCAAGAAGAGCATCACTAGCCAAGACTCACTCACCATTTCCATTTCAGCCTGGGGAGCAAGCCATTATTTTGCAGTCTAAATTATTTGACAGCAATCAAAAGATGTATTTTGAAGTATTATGTGGGTCTTATCACCCTTGGACTTCTAAGAAGTCTGTTCTTCACGCCAGAGCAACTCCCTGCTTCAGAGGCCAAATACACAATTCAATCAAGCCTCAGAAAATACCCCCTGGGAAGGTCTTTTCAGTATCACAGTCATAAAAATTATACCTGTATGACAATTCTGATAATGATGTGCTCTCTAGTAGACCGGTAGCTTTCCATTGCTTAATTACTTCATGCCTTCAGCTCTAGAAGCTAAATCTGACAGACACGTGTGGGAAGGGGACACTTCATTACTTGATCACTATAACCTTTCTCTGTAGCAGTGATCAGATGCATTGCCAAGTGTATCCTTTCATAAGCCACTGCTTCTTCTGTAATTCTTTGCTGTTTTGCACTATAGTAAACTTAGACATTCATTCTTTAAAGTTGGTGTCTTTGTTCCTTAAATCCATCCTCATTCCCAGGGCAAAACAGACTGGCAAAACAGTGGCCCATCACCTGCTTTACCAGAGACAATCACGTTTCCCAGAGCAATTTCAAACACAGGTACCTTTGCATCCAGTTGTCTAAATCGATGCACCATCCTGAAAGCAGGAGGAGAACAGGGAAGAAAGGGCTGAGTGCAGGTATTAGAGAAACTGCCGTGGTTTTGCTCTGGGTCAATTTGCTTTCACACCTCCCACACAATTACTGTAAGTTGAGAGAAAGTTTATGCAGACAAAAGAGACTCGATTGGGGAAAAATAATATGAACATTTATTATTAGCAAAATAAAACTAAAGAACTACATCTACAATAATTCTACTTAAGTAAAAATACTATGTATTTACAGAAATATTTCTCCCCCCTTTATATCAGTCCGAGGAGGAGAAGTAGTTTCTTTCTCTGTTCTCGGAGCTCCAGGTCTCTTCAATAACTCTGCAGCACTCTCCTCGTAGCTGGAACTCTTTCTCTTTCTCTCTTGCTCTGTGTTGGTCTCTAGGGCTGGGCCTACCCCCCTCCTGGGCTAAGACCAGAGGCTGGGGGTTACCCAGGTCCTGAAGGTCTTCTCTTCCATGGGCTTGCAAGGGGACACTTGCCTACCATGGATCTTCTTCCACAGGGTCACAGGGGATAATGGCTTATGAGTCCACCCCTGTTTTCTGTGGAGGTCCCTCCCATGGGAGAACAGTCTTTGATAGACCTTTCCGACATGGGTCTAGCATGGATCCCACACATGGACCCCAGTATCTCTACCCGAGCTGTTTTTTGCTCCAACGTAGGTTCTCTCAGGGTCACAATCTCCAGCACCAACAGCATGGATCTCTCACTGAGATCCCAAGCTTACCCGAACTGTTTTCACTCCAGCGTAAGCTCTCATGGTCAAAAATCTTCAACAGGACTCTGCCTCATTTCAGTCCCTCTCATGAAGTCTCAGCTTCCTGGTGCATCCATAACCTCCTTTTTGAGCTGCATGGGGGTCTCTTCACCCCAACAAACTTTCACAGGTGGCAGAGATTATTTTTTAGTCTTTTCCTGCTGAAGGGAGAGAGCGAAATGGGGGGAGAAACAAGCCCCCCTTCGCACTTTTCTTCTCTCTCCTGCAGCTGCCAGCTTTGACCTTGGACACTTTGTTATCTCTTTGCTGGAATTTCCTCTGCAGCGTTTCTTGTCCAAGCAGTCAGTCCTTCTCTAAGGTTTTTTTTCTTCACTCTCTTACATGAGAGAAGGGGGGCTTCAGTGCTACACCTGCCCCCGGCCCAGGGCTGGGGGAGGAGGGGGCCTTGGTCCATCTCGGGGCCAGCTGTCGCCGCTCCTACATGGCTGCTGCTCCTAATTTCAACTGCACAACCACCTTCTCTTCCGTTTTCTTAAATATGTAATTAGCAAAGGTGTTACTGAGAGTTTTGATTGGCCTTTTTGTCCGGAAATCCACCTGGACAAAACCATCCTCAGTCCCAGGGGCTGGCTGGTTGGGCAAAACCACGACATCCCCCCAGTGCCCAGTCCATTCATTCTGAGTTTGGGGGTCCCACCCTGCCCATTCCCTACTCTTCTGACCTCTCTTACCCATTTCACATTAACCTCAGTCCCCTCCACTTTTGGGGGTCCCACTCCCGAGAGAAAAGGGGGTGACACCAGGGTGGGGAGTCCCTGGGGGGGCACAGATGCTCTGGGGGGGACACACGACCCCCTGGGACCCCCTCACCTTCTGGCGCAGGTGGAAGCCGAGCCCCAGGGCAGGGAGACGAAGGCCAAGCCAAATCCCCCAGACCCAAATTAGGAGACATTTCTCAGGCTGAGGAAGCCCAGCAGGGGCCTTGAGTGCACTGAGTGTCCTGGGGTCCTGCTCTTGGGGCCCCTGAGAGTGACTCTCAGCTGGGGCAGCTCTCAGGGCTGTGCACAGACGGCTGCCCTGACCCTGGGGGCCCAAAACTGCTGCTGCCTGTCAGGGCTGGCACAGAGGGGACCTGGCAGCCCCTTGCCAGCCCTGGGCCCTTTGGCATCCTCACGGAGAGCTGAGTGCTGCCAGCATTGCTAGCCCTCTGCTCCTCGTGTGCCACGGGCTGAGCAGATCCAGGTCACCTCCCATTGCTCTGCCAACCCCTTGGGGCTGCTCTGGGCTCTGCAGGTCCTTGCCCTGCTCCCAAGGGCTGTGGGGGTGCTTCATGGTCAGGGCTTGGGCTTTAGAGCTCAGGGTGGGGATCAGGCAGAACCTTGGCAGGTTTGTTGTTCTGCTGGAAGGGTCTGCTTCATGATTGGTGGTTGTGATGGTTTTGATCTAGGCCTTCCTGGTAACCAGTTTGCAACCAAGGAAGTGGCCAAGTACCCAGTATTCCATACGATTTTTACGTAAACCAGAGTATAAATAAGTTGGAGATTAGAGACCTCTCTCTCTTCTCTTCCAACGAGGGTCGGGAACTGTAGGTCCTTGCGTTGGTCTCGCTTATCTAAAGCTGAGGCCTGCAGCGACCGCTGGCCTGCCACGTGGGGGGTTCGGAGAGTGCTGGCTGTGTCTGCCAATCCTGCTTTTCTAAGGGAAGTGGTGAGATCTGTTTTGTTAATTACTAGTATAGTTCTTGATTTTGATCAAGTATACCTGTTCGGTGTCCCTTTTTTTTTTTTCCCCTTTCCCTATCCCTTCGGGGAGTGGATCCCCTTTTACTGTGTATATAGCATCTTAACTGTATATAACTTTAATTTACGTAAATATATATATATTTTATATAAACAGCTTGACTTTGGGTTCTTTAATTTTTTATAGTTTTTTTTTTCTTCTTTGCCCTAAGAGGAGAAGGGAGGGAGGAAGGGGGTTGCTGTCGTGACTTTCGGGCATTTGGCAGGGAGCCAAGTCCAAACCATCACAGTCGTAGAGGGTTTTGGGCTGGGTCAGGTCTAGAGCTTGGCTTTTCAAACTGGTAATACAGGTTTGGGAATGGTGTGGGCATTGAGTACAAATAAGATTCTGAAGTTCTGTTTTGGTTTTTTTTTTTCTGTCTTGGAATTAGAGCAGTGGATTCCTCTCAATGGGAGGGGCAGCACTTTTGGGTAGTGTTGAGGTTACAAATAGAGTAAAGGTCCATCAGGAATGTTTGCACAGTCAGTGTTTCAGTACCCTCAGCATTCCCTTAAATTGTTTTCATATCATCAAAATCTTTCATCTCTGTTGGACATCTCTTTTTCCGTCACCCAAATATCCCATCCAGTTTTTCCAAATTTTCCTGACCTCCCCAAAACCTTTCATCTGGATGGGCTCAGTTCTATGATGACCCTCCTGACCTCTGAGCATCTGCCTGCCCTCCTTGGCCAGTCCATTCCTGGGGACAGCCCTGGCAGCGCAGCCCCCAAGGGCACAGGATGTGCTGCTGTGCTGGAGAGGACCCTCCTCAGCCTGTGCAGCAGGGCTGGAGGTGGGGGATTCCCTGCCCCTCCCCAGCTGGGCCCTTCCTGCCTCTCACACTTGGGCACTGGAGCTGCCCCGGGGCATCTCTGGGGCTGTGGCCACCCCTGGGACTGCTCTGGGAAGTGATGGCCTGAAGACATGAGTGTGGATTTTGGGAGAGAGTAGAAACCTCTGCAGAACAGAACTCTTGGTAATTGCTCAAGGCTTCCTTTCCAACATTTCAAGGGTTACTTTTTTTATTTATACACATTTCCATAATATTTTCATAGGGTTTTTTACTGAAAAAACCAAACCCAAATTCTACGACCTGATTCACTCACTGTATGAACAGCTTTGTACAGCTACTTATCAAAATAAATTTCCTACCAATGATTCAAATGAAGAAATATTGCTCAGAGGAGCTCCTGAATTTTTTGAAGATATTTCACATCTCTAATTTTGCCTCTTTTGCACCCCACCTCCTGTGGGGTGTCACCTGCTCTGCCCTGTCTGAGATGCCCCACGGCCTGAGGGATGGACAAGGCAATTGTGATTGTTCTTGGGTGGTCTGTGACCACTGTCCTGGGGCAGCTTTCCCAGGGTGTGCAGCACATGGCAAAGACCAGACCCTGCTCTGCTGCTCCTTCCCATCCCTCCCAGGAGGGCTGGTTTTGGGAGGACCCTGCAGAGCCCCCACCCTGCACACTCACACCCTGCAGCTCAACACTGGGGTTTTCCCTCCCTGGCACTGCCCAGTCCAGCCCCTCCCTGGTCCCCCCATGTCCCTGCCCCTGCCCCAGCCCAGTAGAGCAGCCCAGTCAGGCCTGGCCCTGCAGCAAGAAATGGAGGCCATGGAGGTCAGGCCAGGGCCTGTGTGTGTGCAGTGCTCAGGAGATCATCAGCTCGGGCAGCTCCTGCTGCCCCAGGGCCAGGGCAGCCTCTTTGCATGGCCCCTCTGCTCACCCAGGCTGTCCTGCTCTTCTCCTGGCACATCCCATCTCCCCCCAGAGCCTTTCCCCAGGGGAACACGTCTGTGCTGGCCTGAGCAGCCCTTCCTGCAGCCCCTGCCCGTGCTCCCCACAGCCCCCGAGCTGGGGGTCTGCTCTGCAGAGCAGGGGGCTGTGGGGCCCGGGGCCGTGGGGGACTCTGTAGGGCTGTGCTGCTCAAGCTGGGAGGCAGAGCCAGCTGATGGTGCCCCTGCCACTGAGCACCTCCCACAGATGCTCCTGTGTGGCCATGGAGGGTGCTCAGAGGGGCCCTGCCTTGTTCCAGAGCTGGGACATAGCTTGGGGGACTGCTCTTGATTGACCAGTGCAAGTTCACTGAGGGCAAGAGAAGCCACTTGCAAGAGTTTTCCCTGTTCCTGCTGAGTCTCTTGGGGTTGCAGAGCTCTCTTTGCCACTTCGCAGCAAGATTTAGTACTTTCTGTCTGGGTGACTCCACCCTGGGCAGGTTTCTGCTCCAGGGCTCCAGTCACTGCTGACTGGATGGGACGGGCTGTCCCTGCAGATCCTCTGTGCTCTCCTGCAGTTCCTCATTTCCTACACACAAGTCCTCCCCTGCCATCAGAGCCAGCACAAGCTGCAGAGCCCCAGGCAGGTGACCTGGAGATCCTTTGTCATCTCCATTGGCCATCGGCCACCAACACACAACATCTGAGCCAGCCCTCAGGCCCTGCAGTCCCAGTGGGTCCCTGCCCTCCCTGAACTGTCCATGGAGAAAC